TCAATAAAACAACAAGAAGGAAAAAATCTCAAATCAATTGATATATTTAATAAGACATTGCCAATTTTAGAAACTGGGAGAATTGCTGTTAAAAAAAGAAGTTATTTAGAGGAAGTGGAGGAACAACAAAGAGAAGAGGAAAGGAGAAAAAGAAGATTAAGAGGTAGATATACAGTTTATTAATTATTGATTATTTATTTATCCAATCATTCATCTAATAATTAATTTTATACATATGTACATATAATTTTTACTAATTAACTAATTATATGGCAAAAAAAATTCAAGAAAAAATACCCAGGAAAAATTTGGATTCAATATTACATGATGATACACTTGATATAAAACTTGAACCGACAGATCCTAATTATAGGTTTCGAAAAGCCATCAATAGAAAGATGAAAAAACTAGAAAAATTACTTTATAGTGCTGATATTGATATGAGACTTGTACCTGATCCTAGATATGAAATAGTTAGAGAACTTGTAGAAACAGAATATGAAAAAAAATATGAAAATTTTCGAAGAACAATAATTTATTAGACTACTTGATCAAATAAATCAGAATTTGGAACGATTCATCCTTCAATTAAAATAAATAAATAATTGATTAATATACTAAATATATATATTTATTTATATTACTGTTAATATTAATATCGATCATATTACACTGGTAAACTCGATAAGTTGCATTCAGCCAAAAAAAATTCAATATTTAAAATCTCTTGATAATAAGCCGGCCAACCCTTCTAAATTACTCTTGATAAGTCGGTCTCACGTGATATTTGCATTGAATGAGAGGTCATCATTACTATTTTTGGTAACTTGTAATAATTTCCATTATCTTCTTTTTTGTATACATTTATTATGCATTTGTATTTTAAGTTATAGCATTAATTGCATCACTATTTATCTCATTTGATAATTTAGAAAAGAAGAAAACCCATTTCTTTTTTATATTATGAACGATGCATTTATGTTTTATAATGTTTTGTATGTATAAAAAGGTTGATTTCACAATATTTCGAACAACTATATAAAGATCGGTGTAAATAAACATTGTTTTTTAAAAACCCCATTTACGTTTTATAATTTGTTACTAAAAACTTAAGGTCACGTGTACTTTGATAAGTCCATCATGCTCAGCCATTCATGGCCGACTTATCGAATTTACCTGTTACTGTGTATTCGAATTGTTATTTTGTACCAACAAATCGTCAAAGCTTTTCTGGGTAAAGAAAGTAGCAGTAAACAAACTGATTGGTAAACAAAAATATTTGTCTAATTGATTGACAGGGACCAAAGTCAAGCTAATTCGGCACTAAAGTATATATTTTTGATGGGCTAAACCAATAACAATGGATGGTAGAGTAATAAAAAATTGTATAACAGAAGTGGCAATTTTTATAATAAATTCACAATAAAAAGAAAATGGTGTAACTTAAGTTCAAATTATCGTATATGGGTATACTAATACTGCGATGTAGCTTTTTGGTTAACACCGATTGTTTTACATTTATTGCAGTTCGTATTAAATTTCGAGCTACTTTCGTTAATTAATTGTAAGCTTTTATATTCAATGCTCGTCCAATTAAGCTATTTCACGAATTTATTCATCCCATTTATTGCTTCGACGAATCTGTAAGCAGAAAAATAAATGTGACCTTTTAAAAAGCGGCAAATGTTTTTTTAAAGTTATTTATTTATTTATGTTTACTTTACTTTAATCGCTTAAAAGCTTTATTAATTTGGTCTCTTTACAAGACTCTTTAAGCTGCTTGTTTAACAACCGTTCGTTACAACAATTACTTTAACACAAATAACAATATGCGATAACGGCTTCAGTTAATAACTGCCGACACTTTATATTTGGTTAACTATTAACACCTTATATTTTGCCGAATAACTTTGACACTTTACATTTACACTCAAACACTTTACATTAAACTCTCTAACAAAAACTTAAACAAACCATTTACACTTTACAAAACTTGAAACCAAACCTTTGCTTCTCTACTAAACAAATGACCAAAACCTCAGTTATATATCTTGCTCTGATAACAAATTGACGACTAAATCCTATTGTTTAATTTCCGATCACAAACGTGTTTTATTAAGCGAAACGTAAAGAATTATTTATTTATTATTAAATTGTGAAAATGCTTTACAGAACGAATTATTTGTAAAGAGATAATTCTATATTTCTGCCTTTACTCCTATGAGAAAGGTTCTGTAATATTAATTACATGGTTAATTGATTGATTAACCGGTTGTCTTTATAAAAAATTTCCATTAAAAACGAATATATTGAAGACATGTGACCTCGGCTCACAATACTGACAAAGTAAACGAGGCAACTAAAATATTAAAGGAAAAAAATCCTGAAAATGAAAATGTTATTTAAGAACTTTAAAATAAAGTTAAAAAAAACCCCCAATTCATCAACAATTGAGAAAGTCCAAGAATGAGCTCATGCAGGGTCTAGTATTGAGACATAAAAAATTGTCATAATCACGTTACTACCACTATTATTAATCCGAGGATTGCCAATGTGTGACTGATTCATCAAACTAAAACTAATTTTTTTTAAAAAAAACGAATTAACATGCTTTTAAACGATCCTGATGGTGTCGACGAGGATATCGTTAAACAAGAAGCAAAGGTTATATATATATATTTATATATTTAATAATAAAAAATATAGATTAATTAATTAATCTATTTTACTGCAATTATCACAGCATTTTCAAAAAGTTCTTAATAGCTTTGCATTATATAAATCAAACGCGCTTTCTGCAAATAACCGAAGAAGAATTGATTATATTAATCTTCCGGAACAACATAAATTGTTAGTTCCAGGCTTTTTGGATCGTTTGAATGAAATAGATAAATCTATATCGATAAATAATCAATTATTAAAGAAAATTTTAGCGGATGGAAATTTATTTGTTAACGAAGAAAATAATAATGTGCGTGTATATAATAAAAAAAAAATAAAAATAAATCTTTTGTTAGTATTTTAGATAATTCTTTTCAAAAAAAAATATAAATTTTTAGGTTTCCCTAATTTTGAAGACGAAATAAAATAAAAATTATTTTTTTAAAAAAAATATCATCGTTTATGGATCAGGATAGCCAAAATTTATCTACTAAAGCTGAGAAAGAAGATGGTGAAGAAGGTGTTGAAGAATCGAATTTACCAATAACAGAATATGATATGGACAGAGTTAGAAGTACGATCAAACAATTTGTTAGGGAATGGGCAGTAGAAGTATGTATATATCAGATATATTTAAATACGTAGCCGTATAAATATAAATATAAATATGTTTTTTTAAATGTCTATAGGGAAAGTCAGAACGAGATGCGGCATATAAACCTATTATAGAAGCTTTACTTGAATTTTATAAAGATGTTCCAATTGAAGAAAGGTGTGATTTTTTTTTAATCATTTATTGATTATTATTCTTTAAAAGAAAAACAATAGAATTTGCTATTTTATAAATAAATCATATAGATCATCCATTACTAATAAAAGTTGTCATTTTTTTTTTTTTTTAAAAAAAAGAAAAAATATTCAAGTGTTAGTTCCGGGCGCTGGATTAGGAAGATTGGCATTTGATATAGTAAACCAAGGTACTAAATTGGTTATTACTTGTACATATGTGTGTTGTGAAATTGATTTATTGATTTATGATTTTGCTTATTGACATAAATAAGGCTTTAGTTCTCAAGGTACTTCATATTTAAATTATTTGATAGAATTTATTAGATTTCAAAATTTATTTATCATTTTAAATTTATATCTATAAATATAGGAAATGAATTTTCATTTTATATGGTAATTTCCATTATCTGTAAATTATCCCAAATACATATCGAACAATTCACTAATTGGCATATACTCAATTAGTTGTTAGCATCACATTTCATATTAAACAGGTAGAAAAGGAAAAGAAATATATATAAAGATCTCCCTCCTAAAAGTATCAATAATAAAAACTTATTTTCTGCTATTTTTTTAGGATAGAGAGAATCAATCAATACGAATTATATCCATTCATCCACTCTTTTTCCAACATTTTGTCATCTAAAGATCAATTAGTGCCTGTTTATATACCAGATGTGATGCCTAGTAGTATCCCACCTGAATCTGATTTTTCAATGGTGGCAGGAGATTTTACAGAAGTTTACGGTGACAATCAACACATAGGTAGATTAAAAATTCATTGTTAAAATTTTTTTTTGATTTTCATTTTAATTTTATTAAAATAATATTATATATATATATATATGTATGTATATATAAAGGCAAGTGGGATTGTATAGTTACCAGTTTTTTTATAGATACTGCTAAAAACATTATAGAATATATCGAACTCTTTCATCGTATTCTTAAGCCCGGAGGATTATGGATTAATATCGGTAAATGATAATTGTTTAAAAATGGAGATTTGTCAATAAGTAATAATCTTTGTATTGATATTAGGTCCATTATTGTATCATTACGAGAATACACCCGGTGAGATGTCGATTGAGTTGAGTTTAGAAGAGGTTAAAATGGTTGTGAAAAAAACTGGATTTCAATTTCAGGTAAAACTTTTTTAAATGCCAATATTAATTATGTATATGACACGTATTAATTATCATGTATATATATATATATATTCCTTATTTAAACTTCAATATATAAGAGGGAAAACATATTTCAATCAACCTATACAATTAATCCAAATGGAATGTTAAAATATTTATACGATTGTGCATTTTGGACATGTGTAAAACAATAATAAAAAATATTTTTATTATTTTATTATTTTATTATTTTATTTTTTTATTGTTTTATTATTTTATTATTTTATTATTTTATTATTAAATTTTAAATTTTGAATTTTTGAATTTTTTAAAAAAAAAGTTCTATATTACTACTCTAATTAATTATTATTATTATTATAATACAAAAAAAGTAACTCATAATGTCCCACTTATTTAAGCAATTTACAAAAAAAAAAAATAAGAATACAAACACACTCCCTCTCTTATATAGGCCCGCCATCTCCACCTTTTCCCAACCCAGTTGATACTTTATTTTGCACTATATAAATATATAAATGTTAAACTTGTGAAAAATATATATATATATAAATTAAATATTTTTTTTTAAAAGAAAAAGAACTTACCATAATCAATTGTAGTCTGATAATCACCAATAGCAACCAATATAGTTGAAGAAATATCGGTAAACAAGTCACCTTTAATCGATTCAAACAAGCTTTTCAAAGCAGCGGGAGTAATTTTCAACTTCAATTCAAAATCTTTTGTGGTGACGGATTGTTTTGGCTTAATGACCACAGGAGCACTTGTTAAATCTTCATCGATAGTTCCAATCAAATTGCCCTCCGATGTGATTGTTGATTGGATCTTTAAAAATTTGATAGTGGTGTCTAATGGATTGAATGCATCTATCGAGGCAGTACCTTTCGAATCAAATATTGTGTTAAGACCAATGGCAAATCTAGCTTTAAGTATGACATTTTTATCCGATTTTAATCCAGGCATGGAAGTTTCAAGTTCAAGACTAGCCAATGCTTTTTTCAATGACGAGATTTTTGTTGATTCCAAAGTACCTTTTATTCCTAAATCATTCGGTTTACCGGCCATAAAATTGTTTAATAAGTCTCTACCAACTTTCAATGCATCGTCAGTTTTTGGTGCAAATTGTGCAACAACATTTCCGGTGTTTTCACCACGGTCTAAAACATAATTTTTCATAAGAACTTTTCCAAGTTGTTTCTCCTTAAAATACAAATCGAAATTAATATCACCCATGTTGATTTTTACATTTGATGGATTAAATAGTGTGACTGAAAGGTCAATCAACATCATGTCAGTGGTACCACCTACAACTTTCAATGAATTGACTAAAGCTGTCTTTGTTTTGAGACCTTGAAGCCCATCTAAAGATGAATTGACAGAAAATTTGATCCCTTTAATTTCTACATCGCCCACAGGGGTACTTGCAATTGAATTCGCGACACCTTTCATTACCAAATCAACTTTCGGGTCTGTGGTCAATTTCTTACTAAAATTATCAAAAGCATTTTCAGAGCCACTTGTTACTTGGAATGGAGTAGGAGCAAAACTTGATTTGATTATCCCTGTTGTTGTATCGCCTGATGCATCAGTGTAAGGAGTTGAGAGTTTGGCTAGATTAGTAGCGCCATCAAACATTGTAATATCTTGAGAAATTTTTTTCATCGACAACGGGAAACCAAAAGGTATGCTAAATGAGGCAGTTAAAGAAGGTGAAGCAGCCATTGGTATGTATGGATTATCTGTAAGAAAGTCTAGATCCAAGGTATTTATGGTGACACCAGTAATAACTGAGAGATTTTGTGGTCCAGCTAATACTACGGACAACCTTGTACCCAAAAATGCGGATTGTAACCAAGAAACAGGTTCTGTGTTGTTATCAGGCTTTACCAATTTTGCAACAACATCGGTAGTGGCATTTTGACCGGCAATGAATTTTGAAAACAAATCGCTAACAGCAGCTAATGAACCAGTGGTATTCTGAGGAATAAGTCTACCGTTCAAATTTAATTTATTGTCGCCCTGGAGTAAGGTAATGTTTGTAGCAGAAACTTCTCCGATCGTATGATTAAGATATTGAATGTCAAAAGTAAGGTCGCCTAATTGAACACTAATAGGAGAAGGATTTCCCATGGTAGAAACTATTTGAACAACAATACCGCCCTGAGGATCTTCAGAAGGTGCATTGAAACTATCAATTGTAACAGATGGAAAATTTTGCATTCCTATATATTTGATATCATTAATATAATAGATTAATATATATAATATAAAGGTAAATTAAACGCACACACACCAAAAAAAAAAAAAGCCAACACATACCACCCATGGTTATATCTTTGGACAAAATAATATTTTGAAGATTCAAGCCGGCTGCCTTTACGGATGCAACACCTTCCAAATGCCATGTGAATTCTTTTTCAGTCAACATGAATTTATTGAATTGACTGAATGCAGTCTTATTTGATATTTTAAAAGTTTGAGTTGATTCAATTCGAGCACCAACAAAAGGAGCAGCTGAAATGGTATCAAGTGGCATATTACCAATCAGAAGATTTTCCCAAGATACTGATACGCCACCAGGAACTTCAATAGTAGCAGCCAATGGGCCGGTATTTGTAACTAATATATACAGTGTGTGGTGTAAATTATAAAGTGTTAGAACAATCATCAAATTTTTTTTAAAAGAAAAAAAAAAGAACAATACTATGTATTTATGATTTACCTTCACCAGATACTTTCATAAGGAAACTATCTTCAGTAAGATTTGTTAGGCTAACAGTTGAAAAAGCCAACTTTGAACCAGTGACGGCACCTTGAGCAATAGACGGAGCAATTACAAATATGGCAAGCAATATGAATATTATGGAAAGTAAGATGGTTACACCGCAACATATGAAACAGCAGGCTTTACGTCTATTACGAACATTACGAAAATTACGAAAGAACCTTTTTTTTCTTGTAGAATTTTCATCACTATCACTATCATCATCATTATTATTGTTTATATTATTTAATTGTTGACTTTCTGAATCGAGAGCACGTGAATTGTAAGGTGTATTTTCATTATTGGTTACAGGAGAGTTTCTTTCTTCGTTTTGGAAGTTATATAGTCTATCGTTACTTCCAGCAGAAATGGTGCTTCCACTACCATTAACATTATTCGAATTTCGATATGGATTATAACTCATTTGAGGAATAGAAAAACTATTATTATTGTTATTATTGTTATTGATGATGTTGTTATTGTTATTGTTATTGTTAAATATTGGCTCTGGATTTCTTGGATGTTGCGAAAAAATTGGTGAAGGAATGAATGACGAATTATTGTTGATTAATTGGTGTTCTACACCATTTTGAGCCATTTTTTAGTTTAGCTTGATATTAATGACGATGATGATGATAGTGATGTTGATGACAATGATGGTGTTGATTAATAATAACGATTAATCAATAATCAGTAATATTAATAAAAAAAAGAATGTTTGGATTAAAAAAATATATAATAATATCTCTGTTAATGAACAGTGATATTATTATATACTTTTTTTTTTTAACAAAAAAGAGAAATTTAAAAATGTAAAAATTTTTTTCCTTCAAAAATTTAGATTTTATATTTTATCCATAATTGGATTTTAAGGCAATTTGTATATTAAATAACTCGCATGTGATAAACCTGCACAATATATATATATATAATTTTTTATTGTTATAAATAAACGAGAAACAAAATAATGAACGAGCGTTGTACGGTTTATTTATATTGTATCATTCATTACACAAAAAAATTTTAACATTAACGCCCAATATAGTTAAAAGAATTATTTATTATTTACCAATAATCATGTAAATGATCTCAAATGACTTCTCGACCGAGAGGCATTTTAGATTCTTAAATTAGGTGAAAAACTAGAATTTAAAAATTTATTATTATTGTATTAGTATTTGGCGAAACCTTGTTTCATACGAATTATAATTAAATTCTTGTTTCTTTTGTTACACATAAAAATTCGTTGAAACACGATTAGTAATCTTGTTTCAACGACTTTGTTGTAACAAGGTTATATTATATATCTGGTGATATTCGAACCCGAATCTCACACAAATAGTAGTCAATTTAAACAGCATTGTTTTTAAAGAATTTATTTAAAATAATAATAAAATTTAATGATTTTTAATATTGCTTTTAAAGAATTTAAAAAATCGACATATTGGTCTTTTCAAAGATGGTCGGTCACACTAGTGATGTTAGCCGGCTAAGAAATTTTTAAACGGCTAAGCCGGCTTGAGCCAATCAAATTCTATTCTCAAAAATAATAAAAAATATTCATTCATAATTGGGGTGTGCGACATTCTAAGAAAATCAAAACTAATTAATGTCATATATTGATTGGTTATATGTGATTTTTTTTTGTGATCTGCATATCATATACAGAATTTCCGAAATTTACATAAAGAACATAGTAAACATATTGTTTTCAAAACACTGCTCCTCCTCCGTTTTCAAAGATATAGACACCAAATTAGTGTACAAGATAGTATATGTAATATAGATTAGAGCTATGGAAAGATTTAATGGATTAAAAATACCAGTGGCGTAAAAAAACTCATTCGAAATACAGAAAATTTCTTTCTTTATCGTTATACTTCTATCTATTGCAACTTCCGAAAAAATTGTATGAAATAAAGATTCTGTCTCCATAGCACTGTTCTACAAATACATTCTGATCAAAACCTCTAATAAATTTATAAATGTGACGATTTTCCAGAAGCCTTAGTGATTGAAAGTTCATAATACTAATAAAACGTAATATTTATTTAAAAAATAATAGCAAAATATTTTGTTACACTGTTTCCTTTTTTAGAGAAAAAAAGGGGCACCATAAAAAAATCCGCATATATGGATTTACATTATGACATTAATTAGATTTGTTAATCAACTTATATCGAATACCCCAATTAGACATGGATTTATTCTATAAATTTAATAATAATAAATACATAAATAATAAATTAACATGTTTATCCTATCCTATAGACTTCACATTCCTCTATCAAATGAACTTTTCTGTTTTTATTTCTAAAATTTAAATTTTCATAAAAATCTGCAAAACCATAATGATAATAATAACAATAAGGTTCATTATCAATACTATTGTATAGACATAAATCATGAAAACTTACAGTATTTTCATGAATTTTTATATTATCTAGAATTACACTAATCTTTTGTTCATGATGAAATATTGCACATTTTGATATCCTAACTCTACCTAATATTGAATTACTTATTTGATTTTCATTAATTTTGAAAATAAAACTTTTATCTGTTTTAATCCAATACTTATCATCAGGAGACTTTTCTTTTTTATTCCACCCAACTGGATTATAACCACCAAATAATTCTCCTATGTCTTTAATTTTCATAATGACCACAGTTTGTTCAATATTATAACATTTATCCTCAAATACAGATCTAGAAAATCCATCTCGAGTACCCTGAAAAATTAGTTCAAATTTATAAGGTACATCATTTTCATTATATAGATCATTTTTGTAATTGATCCAACTTGAAATTAAAGATTTCATTTGTAAATTTAATAATTTTCCTGTTCTTGTTTTTGATCTTGGGCCTTTTTGAAGTATTAATTTTGGCTTACATTTATCAATACAATATAGTAAAATTTCCTCATATATTTTTTTATCAAAGACTTTTTTAAATGGTATAATTTTATTGGGAAAATCATTTGAAGAGATTTGATTGAATCTTATCAAAGGAATAATATCTTTTATCCTATCTTTTAACACAATGAAATCCTCTTCCTTCCACTGTGAAATCTCTTTGTCCAAAATTTTATTTTGATTTTTTCCCCATTGAATGACAATATCCCAAATATCAATTTCATCTAATTCTAAGTCATCTCTTTCTAACATAGTTATAAGCATAGATTTTTCAATTGTTGTAATGTCCCCAGACTTAAAAAATAATTTTGGATCTTTATTAATTATTTCACTACAATAATTTTGAAACAAGTTGAATGATTGATGATGTGATGAAATTTTATGAACATAAATTAAATTATGTTGAAACCATTTTTTTTTTTCATTAATCAAATAATTTTGTAAGTCATTAATTAATTCATCAAAGTTTAATTCATCACAAGCCTCAAGAAGTTCAAAAATTTCATTTCCATCCAGATTATCTATATCAAGGATTCCATTGTAAATATAACTATAAAATAAAATAAAGTTATTATTATAATCATTCAATTGATTAATTAATTTAATAAATTTAAAATAAGCTTACGTTAAAAGAACCTCAAATACATTTGGAGAAATGTTTTCTTTTTCAAATAAGATAATATCATCATCAGATTTTTTTATCCAATTGTTTGATAAAGCAGCTTTAAAATACAAAGACCTTGCTTTTAAAATGCTAGAATGAGCCTTAAAAATTTTAACATTCTCATTTATTCCAATTCTAATTTCCATATCATAAAAGTCTGGTTCATTCAATAACTTTGTTAAATCATTTACAAGTTCACTAATATATTTTAACGGAAGAGCATTGTTGCTGGATTTGATAAGGTTGTTAAATAATGAGTTTAAATTTTCTAGTGACGAAAAACAAGTTGTCATTTTGTTGAATAAAAAAAAAAATTTTTTTAATATGCAACTTTATTTTGAAGTTTTCTTATTGGCAGTTGTCGCAATTTAAATTTTTGCTGTTTTCGCACAAGAGTAGTATAATAATAAATATTTAAAGGACAATAGCAAATGAAAATATTTATTGTATAATTAAACCAAATATTTTTGTTTACTCATATTAAAAAAAAAAAAAATTTTTGATTCTTTTTGTCTTGGTGGAAATTTGAAATGTTACACTAATTTTTTATATCGTGCAATGTAACTTTACAATACACGGCAAACATTCTGGCAATAAAAAGTAAGTGATAAACTGGATTTTGAATCGGATCTGAACTTGATCTCCAATTTAGAGAGGTAACAACTATATATATTCAGGAGCAATGGGTTCTCTATAACATTTCGCGTAACAAAAAACTTTCACTATGCCATCTAACCCCTTGCAATAATATATTACCGCTATATAAATCACAATGAATTAGATCTATAAAATATAATGAATGAATGGTTCATAAAAATCCGATATATATAATCTCTTAAATTTCCCTCTTCACATAAATAGCATAATTTCCATTTTTTGGGAATTTGGTTATACCATGACAATTGACAGCTGAGACTGATTTATTTTACAATAATCCAATGCCTGAAATTAATTATATAAATAAAATTCCATTAATTTGGTTTATTTTAAATAAGATCAATTACCTCATCAAAGAAAGGTTTTCCTGGATTATTTGAATCATTTAAATGATTTTAATACTACAGTCTGACTGCAAAATAATTAAACTCATTTTTTATTCTTGCCATAATTATCAATTCCACCACATAGCAGTATAAATAGAACTGAATCCACCTTCTGTTAATTTTCCTACATCATAAAATTGCTCATAAGGTATCCATTCTTAAATTCTATTTGGAAGAGATGAAAGTTGTTGTTTTACAATTATTGCATTCTCTTGATTCACCAAGTTTATGAATTGCATTCATTAATTCAAAATCATAAATAAGCTTTTCTTTACAAAATTCATTTTCATTTTCTAACTGTTCTTTGTTTTCTTTGACTAATTGTAAAAAATAACTTTTTCTATTTTCATTATCAGAATTAGAATTAGTTGGAAAAACAGAATAAGCAATAAGATTCATTTCGTTATGATTTTAAGTACTATCCCTTTTCTGTGTTAATAACTTAATGAAGGACATTTTAACATTTTTAATTTCTTTTTTGTGGTATTTTATTTTTAATTTGCAAATCAAAAATTATTAAATTTTTTTGTATTCCTTTAGCATTATAGATGCTTAAATTTCTCTTTCATAATTTTCACATTCCTAATCATTTGGAATCTTGGAAATTTTCTTAATTATAAATGAGTGTGCTAGACTGGAATGAAAGCAAAAAAAGAATCCAAATGCAAATTTCATAACAAAATCTTTTACACTTTGACATGTTTTTTTCCTTGTTTTATTTAAAATATTTGATTTCAAATTCAGTCAAACTTTCTTATCCATCCTCACCATCTTTATCCCTTGATTTTGGACTTTAAATGAT